TAGCATTGTGTTGATTGTTGTTTGCAGGAATATGCTGTTGCATATTTGTAATATCTGTTGTAGTTTTTTTGATTCTTGGATAGCTAGGATGAGTTGTTTTTTCTGATATGTAGGATTTTGTTGTTGTGTGTGTCGTAATGCTGTTTGTATTTCTTTTGTATTGCTATATATTTATTTGTTGTGGCTCACTTGTATTATGCTGTAGTTTTGGAAATTTGTTTGTATAACACATTTGCCGTGGTGTGTTGTAGTTGTTAGTTTACATTGGTTGCATTGTGTGAGCTGTCGTGGTTGGTGTTTGTCTTTTGTATATATCTAGTATGTTAATTTTATATTGTCATGGCCGCGTTTTGCTATTATCTTTCCAATTATATTTTGGTTTTTTATCTGGGTTATTATTCATTTGTTTTTGGTTATTTCTTTATTATTAATTATGTATGGGTTTGGTGTGTGTAGTGTTAATTGGTTTATTTGCTGGATCTGTATTTCGATTATTCTTGTGATTGTTTTGAACCACACTAGTTCTCTGTCTGTTAGTATTTTGTGTGTGGTGTGTGATGTTTCTTTCCAGCTAATTGTTTATGTATTGTTTAAGTTTGTTAGCTATTCGATAAAGTTAATTCTGTGTTTGTTAAGTTTAGCCTTGAGTTGCTGAGCATTAATCTTGCTTGTGTGTAGTGATAGATTTCTAAGTATCTTGTTTATACTGTTTTCTCTATTTCTAAGGGGTCTAGGCTAGTTGCTAATATTGTTTATTATTGTGAAGTGGTTGTCATGTAGTATTTGAATTCTTTTAGCTGTGGTTGTATTATGTTCAGCAATAGGAAGTATATATAATGCGTCAGCCAGTATTGATGTGTTTGTATTGGTTGTATTTTGTAGTTGTTATATACATATATATAATAATAAATTACATAGATCTGGGTCATTGATTTGTTGTGTTATCTTGCTTATATGGTATTGGCATTGTATATTCCATAGTGTCTGGAGTGTGTATATTCTGTGGTTGTAGAAGGTTGAATTGGATATAGCTCTAGACATACCAGCTTTGTGTTTGGCGATCAAAGTATATCTGTTTGTGGTTTTGTCACATTGTGGTTTGGTGAATATATAGTTTTGTGTTCAGTATTCAAAACGTGTTAGAATGACTATATTGATTATATATATTGCTTGTTTCTCTGTGATTGTTGATTTTTGAAGTAACTTTAAGGTGTTATTTATTTCTTTTACTATATTTTGCTGCATTGATGTTTTACTAGTATGGATATTGTAGTAGCATCTGAGGAATCGGAAGCAATATTTAGGTGGTATTAGATATATATTGGTGCTGTTAAATGTTATATATACTGGTTCATCTTTTTTCTTCAGTTTGTAGTTGGTAGCTAGTATTGACTTGTGTGGATTGACTGTGATTCCTGTCATTTTGTAGAAGGAGTTAGCTGTATCTATTAGTGTCTGTAAGTTTGGTTTGTTTTCTGCTATCCATAGTGTATCATCCATGTATGCCAATACATTTTGTTGTTTGCTGAGACATTTGTGTTGTATATGTGTTGGCTGTGGTGTTGTTGTTCTTATTGTGTATGTAGAGTGATTTTTGTTGATTTGGGTCAGCAAGAGGTCATAGTATATCCTCCATAGTAGTGGAGTTATAGTTTCCCCTTGGTCTATACCATCTTGAACTTGGTATTTGTTAATTAGTCCATGATTAGTGATGATATTGTTGTGTCTGTGATATAGTATATTATTTATGATGTTTGTTATAGGTTTGGGTATCTTGATACGGTATAGTGCTTTGATTAGAAGTGGTATATGCACTGAGTCGTAGGCCTTACTCATGACCTGTGATAATAACTATAGTTCTTTTTTATCTGTCTGGGCATCTTCTATTATATGTTGAAAAGTATATATTAGTGTTGCTATAAAAGTATTATCTAGGGCTACATAATTGTTTGGGTTTAGTATGTTGTATTTGGATAGTATAGGGTCAAGTCTCTTTACTATAATTTTTGTGAGGATCTTTCTAATATGTTCTATTAGTATAATGGAGCGTGTTTAGTTTAGGTCACCTGTGAATGGTTCCTTTTTTGATATAGAGTATATTGTACTATGTTTCTATATAGTGGATATGTTGTGTAGTAACAGACAGTTGTTAAATATATCTAGAATTGTAGTTTTTGCTTAAGAGCCTAGGTGTTTTAACATTTTATTTGATATTCTTGAGGGTCCAGTAGCTTTTGTATTGGATGCTTCTTTGATTGTGGTCTCTAGTTTGAGAGGTGTAATCTTTGTTGTGGTTGTGTTATACTATGTTGGGTCAATTATTTGGATGGGTTTGTATTCTTTTGCCTATTCTTGCCATAGTTCTGTTTGGGTAGGATTTAGCTTCGTCTAGTTTTTGAAATATTCCTGTATTGCTGTTTTGATCTTCTAAGGTTCTGTGATTATGTTGTCTTGTGTGTGAATATTATATAATATAACAGGGTCTGTATATTTTTTAAGTATACTTTTTATCATTTTGGATATATTGTTTTGGAAGTTTTAGTATCTTCGTTCGATGCAGTTCTTTATATATTGGTTGTTTGCTATTTGGTTTTCTATATTTCTTGTTGTTTTGATCTGTT